TTCTTGATTTAGGAAATCAGACTTGTGCTAAAACTCCCTCTTAGCTCTTGTTTGTGCTTTCTCAGTCCACGGTCAGTTCCATTCTTCTCCTTCAGTTGTTTTCCATGGTTGGTTTCTCCCCTCATTCCCTGTTGGCAGTGTCTGCTCAGGTGCTGGTGTTGGTGAGGAGGAGAGGGGCAGGTCAGCAATTGGGAAATTGTGCCTCAGGACCAGAGATTTCATGTGGGACAAAGGCTGTGGGTTAGCTCAGGCCATATAGGTATTCTGGAGTGTGATGGAGTTGGGATGGCCCTGGAATGTCCTCGTTGTCATCTCCTTCCTGCCTCCCCCAGGCACCATCACCAGCCCTGCTGCTGACTTCAGGTGGGAGGAAAGATTTGGTTTTCCTTTGTGACTCTATCTAACTGTGCTGTTAGGAGAGACTCAGAGATTATCGGAGCGACAAACTCCCAGATGAAGTTGGGATCCCAGTAAGGATTGGGGTTCTGTGTGGAAGGGGCTGGATCTACTGGTGTGGAGGAACCAAAACCCCAGATACTGCCCCAAACTGCTCCTTCCTGATCCAGGCAGCAGAGTCTGAGGTTTTTATCTTGGACAAAGACTCCTGATAGTTATTGACGTGGGTGTCTTTAGCTTTGTGTGCAGAAACACTTGCTGAATGCAGAGAGCATCAGGCATGGCCTTGTCTTTTGACATTCTGACCATACTTGTAGGACTTTTGTTTTTGTTAATGTTCAGGGAAGTAAAGAGAAATTAGAGCTTCAGGCACCCACAGAGCTGAGTGAATGATTAAACACAGACTCTTAAACAAGTTATCTGAAAGTCCTTCAAAAAAGCACCAGCTCTACTGAAGATTTCTGTGGGTATGGAATTGTTTGTGATGTTCCAGAATAGGGAATTACATCTGGATAGTGCAACTCCTGACACATCCATGTGCCTTCAGGGCTGCAGGGATTATTTCCTGCTTATTCCTTGTTGCTGGCAAATGCTGTAGGACCAAATCCTGGAAAGGCAGTGGGAGTGATGTGATGGGAGAGAGTTGGGGTCCCTGAGCTTTCTGGGGAGCTGCTGAATTCCCTCTGCCTTTCCCTGTCCCTCTGCTCCCATGTCAATGACATTTTGACATGTGACAGTTGCTGTAAATCAATGTCTCACTTTAGGAATTGGGATGCAGCAAATTCTGCACAAATTGAACTTTATGAGTGGGAATCTCAGTGCAGGAGAAGCAAAGCCACAGTGATT